CTCTCTCTTTAGTTCTATCTTATGTCATTGTCAGGATGTTAAACGAAGATTAATATTCTTAATATGACTTCCTTATTACCTAAGTACAATGATGTGTTTATATATCTGTATGTTAACCTAAGAATGATAATTTTGTCTGGATGTTAAAAGTAAGCTCAATAATCGTTATCTGCCTTCTTCAGTATTACCCAAGTATGAGCCCTACACTATTCGATTGATTAAGTAGACAAAAGCCAAGGGAATTTTTTTTTTACATTTCTCAGATTTAGTCTCTCAACTTGGTTGGCTAAAGTGAAAAGGAATATTACTTGTAACTCAAGACATAGTCTTTTTAGCTTGATGAGCTTTCTTTTGCACTGTCTTCTTAATTTATTTGATGAAGAAAAAAAGAAAATTAAGTGTTTTTTAATAACTTTAACAATTAATTCTAACAATTTAATAGCTAATTTTTATGAGTTCCAACAAGTTACAATTAAGTGTTTTTTTTTCCTTTGATATCAACCAGAAACTATGAAAAAAAAACGTTAAAACTTTGGCTTTTATGTAGGTAACCGTGATTTAAAACAAAAAAAAATTATACAAGAGAAGTTTTCGTAAAAAGAAGCATAAGATGATGAACAAAAATAAAATGTTGTGAAAAAATTAAATACTGATTTTAGGATTTTAAAGTTGTTAAAACATTAAAGTCTGATTGAAAAATTTAGACTTTAAACCTTTTTTTCTAAATACCTTCAAAGTTTTTAAAGCCAATTTACTAATCACCCCTTAATGCAATTAAAACAATATGTATTAGACAAAGTAACGCTTCTAACCAAAACTCTTGAAATAAAACTTTACTCCACCACAAATTGTAAATTCATAATCACTTCACTAATAAATCGATATGAAAGATAAAAATCATAGAAAAATAATAAATAGAGTGAGACAAAAATACAATCAAATGGTAACTAACGAAATATACAGAAAAATGAATTCCAACACATCTTTTGAGATGATGTAGATGTTTCGATAGAAACAAGATATACTACAACTTATCTGATCAATAGATTTTTACAAACGTATTTGATACCAAAAACAAAAAACAACCCGTCATTACAAATTAATGATTGTGTTTCCATATATTGTAACTTTTATTAATGAACTGTTTATTTCCTTTTACATATAATATTGTATATGTCCAATATTTTGGTACAAATGTTTAGCATTCTATCTTATATTTTTTTTTTGTCAACCTATCTTAGATAATTATCTACTTTAAATACCAAATTTATATGCACTAAATATACAAATAATCAATAAACTATAAATTATTGCATATTTTACTATGATAATTTTTAAATTCATACAACATGTGAGCAATTTCTAATTGATTAGATTATGGCATCTCTATAATATTAAAACAGAAGTACATTTAGGAGAATGTCCAAAATTGATTCAAATATTACACAAATTACCATTGTCTTATAACTAAATTGATTAAATTGAAAAGGTTAATTTTGGATAKATACAATGGCAATTTCAGTAATTTTGATATCAATTTCGGACATTTTAAAAGGTATTTTCGTTTTTTTATATGACATATTAATGACATTTTTTTTATTTTAGGAAAGTTTTGTAGTTGCATACAAAAAAATGATAAAAAATATATAATCAATTTTTAAGAATTTTATCCCCCATTCATTTTTGTTTAAT